TACTTTCCAGCCAAATAGTCATCGCCGATAAACCGGGTCGGTCTAGTCCGATATCGTGGTGATTCTGTGGTGTCACCCTCACCTGCACTTTGCGGTACTCTTTTATACAAAATATATACATATTATATTATATTATATTATATTTCTAAATATTTTGAAACCCCATATAGAATGTACATCAGTTCACGAAACATAATGAGATTTCATATATATATATATATATATATATATATATATTTTTATATTTTTCATAGGAAATAATTAATTTTGTACTGAATTATGAGACGACTTGAAATTTAAATGGTAATTTTTTAGTGTATCTATAGGTGTATCTTTTATATTTGAACTCCATTGAAAGTTTCTTCTCGTTGCATTATTTCTGCTAACAAAAAAAGAAAGACACCAATAATTCTATCTTCAATAATCAATCATATAAGTATGTGAGGACAAAATAATTTTGTCCCCATGAGAAATTCAATCCTGCTTTTCATTGTTATAAACTAAGAAGAGGAATGAACCCAAGATGATATAAATAGAGGGCATGCAATTAGGGCAATGTATATATACACACACGTATGTAGCTAAAGATTCGATCAAATTTCCAAAAAGAGCAAGTATTAGCTTCACTTGTAGCTAAACCAGACTAACTAACAACTACATATGTAAATATATTTTCCTACTATAATTTCATTTCTCCAATCAACATTTGTTTGAGTTGCTTGCCGTGTATATGTATGTCTATGTACATACATACATATATATATATATATATATATATATATATATAGTGTTCTTGATGTGAAAAATGATATATATGCAATGACATGACATAATAATTAAAATGGTCATGTTGCGTTTGGTTGAATTCTTTATTTAATCTATAGTTATAGTTTATATATTAAGTTTAATATATAATAGATATTTATTAGTCGCATATGAATTATCATTTTCTAATATTGTACATATCTTGATGGTGTTAGAATTTATCATTTACTTTTTATTTTTTATGACGCACGACATAAATATTGATTTATATTTTGAAAAATGAATCATCAGTGAGTGGAATTGAAACGTAATTCGACGGATTTTTAATTTATTTTAACTCAGTCACGAGTTTAGTATAGCCTAAGAACTAAAGATTAAATCCATAATATATTATTATTCTCAATGAAAAGCTTAACCACTCGTAAAGCCTCTAATCCTAATTTTCGTTTATATTATAATTAAAATTTATGTTATCTTAAATTTTAATTCAATTAAATTTACTTTCCATCCATCATCCAATTCTATTTTATACTAATTAAAAATAAAATAAATTGTACAAATATAATTATATTTACAATAAAAATTAACTTTTTTATTTTTTAAAATAAAAGAAAAGTCAGTATTTTAATTTATACTTATAGATCGAACTAAATTAATTTTTCTAAAGTCGAATTAAAAGTTAAACGTTGTCCGATCAATCAACTACAACTTTTTCAATGAAGTATAGATTTTTTTATCTTAATCTAATTAAAACATCCATATATAAAGGAAGCACTAGATTTCTCTCGTCTTCATCCCTAAATTGTCATATCAAATTGATAAGATCATTACACTTGGCCTTATAATGAATGTAGTTTCTTTTAAAATGTCAAACCTACTCCGATATCGATTGGTTAAATAAAACTATTTTTGAAAGCAACTAATTGTAAAGCTACCATTCCTTCGCCCTTCTTCATAACCCTATCGTATAGTTATTGACACATAATCATCTGTAATATCTGAGCTAGTGATATTTTAATAGTTTTTAAGATATTCATCTCACATATTTTGTTCACCCTTAAATAACTGTATATCTATACTTTAATAGTAAAAGTTCACACATAAAAGTTATAGAACAGTTCAAAAAATATGTATATTTATATAAAACTAATACTATACACATAAATAAGAAATATTTATGTAAGATATCATAAATCTCGTAAATACATCAAAAAAAATCCCAAAAGATTGCAATCTTTTTAATTTGTCAATGGATAATTACTTGGGAAAAGTGGTAAAGGAAACCAATGAGTAAAAAGAAGAAATTACTGGGGGGATGAAAGTTGGGTGCTGAGCATTAATGTCTTTAAAAGTAGAAAGATGAAGAGACAAAAACCACAGAGCATCATAAGCCTTTCTTACTCTTCTTCCCCCATATACTATTTGCAATCAAGGACCTTATCTCTTCAAATTTCTTAAAAACCCCACAAAAAGAAAAAACAAATACCCTTTTGAAAAATCTAAAAAACAAATTAAATATATATATATATATATGTCTCAGAGAATTTGTCTGCTCTCTTTTTTGTTTTTCTGGAGCATTGTCTGTCTGCTATAATTGTCTCACTGACTCCCTTCTCCCCCTTCCCCTCTCCCTCTCCCCCTCCCCCCTCCCCCTCCCCATTCCCCTCTCTTCCTCTCCAAAGAAACTAAAGTCTTGTTTGGAAAAAAACAACAAACAATGTGTTTTTGTTTTCTTTCAGAGACAAAAGCAGTACTGAAAGGGGAACAGTGCATGCCCCCTCTGATTCTTCTCTACCTTATCTGTCTCTGCCCACTCCACAACAGTTTTTGTCTTCTGTTTCTCTTTATTTATTTAAAAAAAAAAAAAACCTCAGAAAAAAACCACCCATTAATTTAATTTTGAATGATTTTCAGGCTATTTTTATGGCTGCAACAAAGATTGGGTCCAAATGACACTCACCCACATAGAGGGACTTCTGTTCTGTCATGCACCTTACAACTATAACACCTCATCCAATTTTGGCTCACTACAATAGGAAAAAAAATATCAAGTTTTGTTCTTTAAATCAATATGTGTGTGTGTATATATATATATACATAACTTCACTAAAATAGTTAGGTGGGCAAGTATGAACAAGCTCATATATATTATATATAATACAATTAATATTAAATTCAAGCTAGCTACTTCAAATTATTTGTAGTCAAAATCTCTGATGTTTTATTTTAATAAATTTCAGTGCATGACTGTTTTTCTCATGTTCATGGGAGATCCTACACTAAGAGATGCTTGTTGGGTTGAATTTAGAACTCTTCATATCTTCAAAGGAAAATTAAAAAAAAAAATATTCTCATGCTGTATAAGGTAATCTTCTTGTTTTTTTAATAATTTAAATTAAAAAAATTGTTGTTACCGCGTTGTTTCATAATATCCGATTTAAATTACAATTACTAGTCTCGAAACAAATATATTACCAAAATCTTGCTATCCGAACTTCGTTTGAAGAAAGTTATATATTACTATCTCAATTATTGAACACAGAATCTTATTAGAAGAAGATCATAAATTAACATTTTGTTGTTAAATTCAGGATATAATGCTTGAGTTATTAATTGCATGAGAACAAACTCATTCATTTTCTTTTTGCAATTGTTAATTTTCTTGAAACTGACATTTTGTATACTTATGCAGAAATTTAGGACATGGGTCTATTCTATAGTCAATTAATTAAATTTGTAATTATATATTAATTGATAAAGTTGCTGTACTATATAGTTTTTGTATATAAAATCACCATGTCAAAAGTTGGTATACTTTTCCAAGAATATTAATTTAAGTATGGGATTTTCATAGCAGTTGCTTATTTCAGAAAATCTTATAATAATTTCCATAAATTACCAATAATTATCAAGATGAATTAAACAAATACCCAATAAAATTTTGAAAAAAAAAAAAAAAAAAAGAAGAAAGAGGGAGAATTTCCTTGAAACATGAACTGTTTTTGTACATTGCTAATCCAAATGTTTCTATGCATATTAAAAAAATAATAATAATAAAACCAGAAAAAGATGGAGGAAGGGTTGAAGGAGGTGGGGAGAGGGGGAGGGTCAATTAACCTAGAAAAGGGTCCTTAGCATTTTCCTAAGATGATCACAAAAACAGTTCTTATGAACCTCCATGAAAGAAAAAATAACAAAAGCTACCAAAGATGGGAACTTTAAGGGCAGTTTGATCATCTTCTTCTACCTTAAGCTAAACCAACCCTTATTTTGTTCTTTTTTCAGTTCTTGCTGTTCATCCATTGCTTATGGCCAGGAACCCATTTAGGACACTTTGGACTAAAGTAACAGGACGTAACCCTTGAGTTTAAAAGCTCAACAATGGGTGCAAACTTCACACACCTAGGTGTCTTATACTGGTTTATTGATGCACCAAGGCTAATGGCATAGTCCATAAGCTTGTCAAATGTCCCTGATTCAACAATCTTGATCTCTAGCGGCCCGATTGACTTGTCAGACACCCTCCCCTGCCGGTAAACACTGTTGAGTGACTCTTCAATTGTGAGGCAACAGTCCTCAAAAATTGAAGGAGGGATTGGAGTTGACCCGTTCAGGCTAAGCTCCCAGTATAAAACATAGTGTCCTGGGATTGTTTTGGTGTCTGCATAGCTGGTGTAATCAGCTATAGTTGCATCAAATGGTACTAAATGATTCACTGCATTCTTCACTGCATTTTGCAGCTCAACCTCATCCGTCTTGTCTGAATCAATGCTCAGCACCACGTTTTTCCTGCATATGAAATTGAATTGCGGCGCCTTGTTCTTGAATCCAGCCACTCTCAGCACATCCCCAACTCTATACCTATACAGCCCTGCAACAGCAACAACCAAATTCACCACCCATTAACTATTTTGCCTTTACAAACTATACCACTGTTTTATACATTTATATAGGTATATATATGTGATGGGAAGAAGGATAGGAGAATGAGATTATACCAGCATAGGTGGTGACAACGAGCTCATATTCTTGGCCAAGTTTGACATCAACAAGATCAACAAGTTCTTGCTGTTCTTTCTCATTGAGTGATTTAGGAACATTAATGGAGTTAGTCACTCCATTATTTCTCTGAACGGGCAAGAACTCGAAATAAGCCATGGTGGGGATAAGGGTATAAGCCACTTCACTTGGCTTGCACATAGGTTTAAGGTTGACACCAAAGTAGCACTCAGACGAGGCATACATGGTGCAGACAAGCGGCAAGCCATTGCTGTAATAATCAAGAGTCGGTATGTACTGAGACATGGCGCCAGTGACAATAACTTCAATATACTTGGTGTTAGGCCAGAGCTTGGTTATAATCCCTTGCCATGACTCTTTCCTGCACTCGCCTTCAATGAAATCCGCAAGCTGAGGATCAGGTTTAAGGATCTTCATGACGGATTCCCGGACAGACTGGTCTGTGATTTGGGCGTCTAGGACACCTGTCCTAATGTCATTACAGAGGAGAGGCCAGTGTTTTTCGAGAAACCTGATTGCTCTGATGAAACCAGAAGCGAAAACAGCACCTACCCTTAAAACTTCCTTATGGAGACAAAGGCCGCAGAGGAGTTGAGAGTACATGCTCTGGTAGGAATCAGGGCAGAGAATGGTTTCATTTGGGCTGGTGTAGTTGGTGTAAGGGTCATATGGCCTGTCCTTAAAATGGGAGCTTTTGTAGTAGCTAGTGAGCACCGGACGAGCCAGTAGACCACCGGGTGTCTTAGCTTCTGATTTGATGAAATAAAAGTACATTCCTTTGCCTTTTTCTAAGCCAGGAACGTATTGGCTCATCACAGGCATTAACAGGCTATAAAGCAGTGATCTTCGGTCAAGCTCCTCCTCAATCGTCGGCATCAACTTCCTCTCCCCGCCGGATGTTCCCGAGCTGCAAAAAAAAAAAATGATCAAGACACAATTTTTAGATACACCCA